CAGAATCTGTTGGACTGATTCCGTTCATTCTTTGCATGTGCCGAGTACTTTATGTGGGACATATGCACATGCAGTGGTTTAGCAATTTGATTCAAAATGGCCGACTGGCAGCCATCTTGTTTTTTGAAAATGTTGTATTTTGGACATGCTTTGTCAGTTTTCATTAAAATTTAGTACATCGATCATACATGTTAGGATACATGTCCCTGACCATCCGTGAGTTCCTGAGTCTGTCTGTCTGTCCGTCCGTGCGTCAGTCTGTTCAGAGTCATATTTCAGAACCCTGTGGACCGATTCCGTTCATTCTTTGCATGTGCCTAGTACCTTATGCGGGACATACATGTATGCACATGCTTTGTCAGTTGTCATTCAAACTTGGTACATAGATTATACATGTTAGGATACATGTCCATGACGATTTATTTCGCAATTGGATCAAAGATGGTCGACTGGCAGGCATCTTGTTTTTTTTTATGCGGTATCTTGGATGTGCTCTGTCAGTTTTCATTCAAAATCTGGTCAAGGATGGCCGATTGACAGCCATCTGACTTTTTGGCCTTACTGCTATATTTCCACAATTTATGTACACATACATCATACATATCAGTGTGTTTCATAATCAGATCAAAGATGGCCGAATAATGGCTGTTTTTATTTTTGGCCATATTACTACTACAGGGAATTTGTGTTTTGATGTAAATAAACAATCTGTTGTATACGCCACTTGGAACTCAAGTTTCAAGGACACGCTTGCGACAACCCCTCCGCTTTAATATGACGAGCACAAAGAGAACTTTCAAAAATTTAACGGGGACTGTGTCATTTTCAATGACTTGTTGTTCTTTGACATTACTCAAGATTTCTTCGGTTCCTCCAAATAAAAATGTTCTGTCTACATATTTAACTGTCTATCTATCCTATAAAGTGGGTATAAAGAATTGTGTGTTGCTGTAATAGCCAATTATAGTCCACTTGTTTATACTACCTCCCAGGTCATGGTTGAAATGATTCCTGTAACCATGACAGTAAATAATAGTCAATAAACACTTGCGTAAATGAACCTGGCACTTTATGAAATACAAAAGGTTGTAAAACTCCAATACAGTTAGTAGAAAACAACACACCTAAAGTAAACTTACTCTCAATACTGACTCGTTTGCATGACTAGATTGTTCATGTACCATTTCTTTCGTGTGCAAACATGTACTGGGGATTGCATTTTGTTGAATAATCCTATCTTACTCAATGTGTTGAAATGTAATCTTGTTGGAATGGTCTTTTCTGTGATAGGTATAAAGTTCCTTCTCGTGGCTTGTCTCCAAATTAGCTGTTTTTGCTAATTCTTGTGGTAAACACATTTTTTTATATTAACCATTTGACCTTTTGAGCACAGATGTCATTTCTTGTCACTTTTTACGAAATAAAACACATAATTTTTTTTTCATAATTAATAATTATGACAATGATTGTTTATTGAGTATTTTCAAGGTCACATTTTCTGCCTGGATCAATACTTTCAATTTTAGCCAAATATCTTCACAGTTTTTGACACTTGGAAAATGAAGTTTTACTTTACAACTTGTTTTGAAACTATGTGTCACGTGTTATTTATTAGTAACATTGAGTCCCTTTTCAGGAAAATATTAATTCATTAGTTTTAAAATTGTTAATTTTATCCATAGATAATTAAAAAACTTAAAAACAGAAATTATCTCTCTTATTCTGAGATTACAAGTAGTATTCATCTGAAAAGCTACTTGCTAATTCTAACGATTCTGACACACAAGCAGTTTTGTACTATTCATGTCTGCGTTCTGGGTGTGGACGTTGGTATGTACTTGTGAACAGAGAAAATAAAAGTATGATTGTATACATTGTGTGTGTAAATCCTCTTATCTGAGCCACTATAACCCCTAGTGGAGAGCTGCTTTTAATGAGATATCTTGTACAAGTGTTTGCCTATGTATCATACACTACACATACACATAACACAGTATGAAGAGCAAACATGATGGAAAATTGGTATTCAACAGTAGTGTTTACGCTACATGAAGTGTGGGCCTAAGATTTAGGTTTGTCTCACGTATTTGCATTGCAGCTAGACTTGAATGCGCCCACGCACTGAGAGGGTCAGTCCTCAGCACGGGCTAAGTGGCGCCATCAGTCGGTGACCTTTGTTAAGCCGCTGTTAACGAAAAATCCTTCTAATTTAGCTTGCATATCCTGGTAAGCATATTTTCTGTTCCTCGTGAAGAGTCCGACTGTTTCAAGATTTCGCTGTCTTTCCATATACTCAGTGAAGCTTTTGTCTCTTCGTCGATTTGGTTTTTGCGAGGGAACGAAATTTTGTACTGAGCTCGGTTGCCATTTTGGAAATGAGAAAATTGCATATATTTGATCACATGCATAATATTCATACCAAAAATTCGCAACAGAGGGCGCTTAGCCTTGGGCTAAGCTTCGTGCACACTTCGTTAGCCCGTGCTAAGGCTCTGGAACGCTTCTTAAAATCTTATCAGATTTTACCCGTACTTAGCATTCTTTAGCCTGTGCTAAGCGTTCATACACGTTTTCTTAGCAGCTTTATGATTTTTACCTCTTAGCCCGTGCTAAGGAGCAATGCATGAACGCAACTAATGTTGTTACACAGAGTCATAATAATATACATATGCAGTTTGATTTGTTTTTCGTTTAGTTGACATTTGACCAAAAAAAAAAACATTTTAAAATATCATCAAGTGTTGTTACACAGAGTCATAATAATATACGTATGCAGTTTAATTTGTTTTTCGTTTCATTGACATTTGACCAAAAAAAAAACATTTTAAAATGTCATCAAGCGATTCTCAAGCTTGTCTGCTGATTTCATTCAAACTTAGTATCAACATCATATGTCACAGGTTACTAATGTATGTCATTTTGTTTTATGTTTTGGTTCAAAATGGCTGGCTGGTGGCCATGTTAAATTTAACCAATTAGCAGCCATTTTGACATATACTGTAGAATAGTTTATTTTCATAATAATATATGATTATATAAGTTTATTCCGCTCACCACTATATACCTATACTGTTTTTAGCAACTCGACATCCCACCTTTTTGTTTTATTGACTCTCATGTTTTTGTTTTATTGACTCTCACGATGGGAGTATTTGTGGTTAGTGCCCCTGTGTGTGTGTCTGTTTCATTGATATCTCAAGAAGCAATCATCAGATTTCAATGATAATGCACGAGGACCTGAAATCCTTGTATATTAATGACCTAATTTGCATATTAACTAGCCTGGTAATTATGGTTAAATTATGTGCTTACTAATTTGCATAAATAAACTATTTATAATTGTTCCATAGTTATCTTGGGTACCACTCATCAAATTTCTTAGTTCATAGGTGCTTTTGGATAATCCACAAATCTCATTACTTGAAATCCATGCATAGTAATTACGCACCTTGTATAAATGGGTTCATGTGACCTCATTAAGATGCATAAATGCAATATCAAGGACATGCAACTAATGCTATAATTGCAGCAAGAGATATGACTAATAAATTATTCCACACTTGCTCTGTTCTAGTTCTAATAGTTCTTTCTAAGCTTTCTTCGATTTTCATTGTCGAATGCCACGCCAACTCTGATTGGGCGCATGTATCAGAAATGCGTCAAATTAGATCTATTTACTGAGGTCAAGTATGTGATGTCATATCTTGTTTATATCAAGTTAGAAAAACAGTGTAAATTGAACGATGCTGCTGCCCATAATAGTGTCAATCGCAATGAGTTTATGGTTTGGGTTTTGTACGTCTGTGCACCTGTTCATTGTCATTTCTCAGATATTCCTAGACTCAATTATTCTCTTAATTACAAGTGTTGGATAACATTTTGACAACTGAGTGCCATTTTCATTAAAAAAATAATATCATGAACTGTTTCTTATGTGTCAATTTCATTCAAATTTTATAACAATATCACTCATGGTCAACTACTAATGCATGTTATTTACTTTTGCAAATTTGTCAAAAAAAATTCAATATATCATCATTATCTTTCCAGACAAGTTAATAAAACCAAGCATTGACACTATTCCTGGTCAGTTAGTGATCTGCAGACAATGTGGCCATGTCACATACAAATTATATCCTATTTAAAATGATGAACATAATTTAAACAAAGAGATACATAATTAAGAAAATGGATACATAATTAAAAGAAAGGGGTACATAATTAAAACATGGGCGTACATAATTAAAACAAAGGGGTACATAATTAAAACAAGGGCGTACATAATTAAAAGAAAGGGATACATACATAATTAAAACAAATGGATACATACATAATTAAAACAAAGGGATACATACATAATTAAAACAAAGGGATACATACATAATTAAAACAATGAGGTACATAATTAAAACAATAAGGTACATAATTAAAACAAAGGGGTACATACATAATTAAAACAAAGGGGTACATACATAATTAAAACAAAGGGGTACATACATAATTAAAACAAAGGGGTACATAATTAAAACAAAGGGGTACGTACATAATTAAAACAAAGGGGTACATAATTAAAACAAAGGGGTACGTACATAATTAAAACAAAGGGGTACGTACATAATTAAAACAAAGGGGTACATAATTAAAACAAAGGGGTACATACATAATTAAAACAAAGGGGTACATAATTAATTTCTTATAGGTATGCTATTTTTGTATTAGTTCAAAAAGTAAGCCTGTACATGTATAAGGGTTAAAGTGTTGTCTGTGTTGTTTTGAGCAAGAGTTGTGTTTATACAGAATAAATTTGTATCATACTTTACTAGATTTTAAATTCAAATAATGAGGTACATGTACATTTATAAATCATCTTTTTCACCAATATTTTTCATTCTTTTTTTCTTTCTAGGATTATGGGTTGTTTGCAGTTATTGTTACTGTCGTCAAGGTGATATTAGAGCATTGACCTCAAACTTTTCACACCAATGTATGGTCTACGTAAAATGAGGAAGGCGAAGCGGTTGCTCAATCGATATCTTCGGTTGCCGTTCTTCTGGTTCATATCTGTTTGCTTATTCTGTGTACTTGTTGTTTCACTGATGCAGACACATGTGCATTCCAGTGGTGGACACAATAGTCTAAGAATATTTGGCAGGCATAGGAGTAGAAATGTATTCCACGCGGGTGTGGCAGCAGAACGGAAAATCTATTTAAAAAGAATACGCTTACAGAGGAAACTATCCAAATTGTTGCCTACTCTAGGGAACTGGCAACTCAACAAAACTGGAATAATGGAATTAAAACAACAACTTAAAGATCACCTTGAACTCACACAATTTATTTGTACCAAAAAGAGTTGCCCGCTCGGTAGCAAGTACTATGACACCGTTACTATGCATAACAGATCAATGACTATCCACAAAGAAATGCTGGAACTGTTACCAATGGAATCCCCTTTCAAAACAGTTGGAGCCATGTTTAAATCATGCGCTGTTGTGGGCAATGGCGGAATTCTAAGAAACAGCAGCTGTGGTAAAAAAATTGACCAATCGGATTTTGTGTTTCGATCGAATCTTCAACCAATCCAAGAATATGTAAGGGATGCAGGGAGCAAGGTCAACTTCAGTACTATATCGCAGTCTCTTCTATCCAACTTTCGTTACCCAGACACTTATAAATATATTCTAAATTTCACAAACTTTAACACGTCTAAGTTCATCAGTGCTTTTGATGAGTATAAGGACTTTATTTTGTGGATTCCTAATAGCAGATACAGTTCCAACATGACGTTCAATATTACGCAGCTTGTGAGAAAGACGACAAATCTACAAATGCTGCTTTACAATGTAGAACATTCGGAGAAAATTCAAACCTTCTGGAATCTGACTAGAAAGGGCCTTTCTACGGGACTGATCCTTACAAGCATTGGGCTTTCTCTCTGCGATGAGGTTAACCTTTACGGATTCTGGCCCTTTCCATTTGACCATAAGGGCCGCGACCTTCCCATGCATTATACAGAAGACCTGCTGTGGGATACTTATCGTAATTTTCATGACTATCCATCTGAATTCATTCTTCTTACCAAACTTCATCGGCAAGGTGTTTTGAAATTACATCTGGATAAGTGTTTTGTTGACAGCCTCAGCTGAAATTTGTTGAAGTGACTTGCAAGATTATACCTGATTGGCTATACATACATAACACATAATAGTTAAGCCAATCAGAAAGCAGCTTCTTTATTAACAGGTTCTTCCACCAAATCAAATCAGCCGTTTATAAATTCTTTGACTCTTAAGGTAGAAGTCTACTCAAATATATGAATTTATTCATTTTCCAATAATTGTACTTCCTGGGAATATAAGGATACTGGCTTAAAAGGAGTTCGGGGTAATTTTTGAGAAAATGATGGTTGTATTTTAGTGGTTAGTCTCCATTTTGGCAGTATTATAGTGCTTTTACCATAGGTTTCTATGACAGAGATATTATGTCATATCTTAAATTGTAGGTTGGTGACATAGGCTGAAAAAATGATATATTGTGAATGATGGGGATAGTGTTTGTTAACTTCACTTATTTCAAAAATCTGGGTTTTAAAAAGTTTCTCAAAATACGTTACTGTAACACAGCAAAGAGTGCTTTTCCATGGTGAGTGCTTTTCCATGGTGAGTGCTTTTCTATGGGTCAATAACTTCACAATTCTACATGGTAAACCCATGATCATTGTCATGCCATTTATGACCAGTTTTCTGAAAAATTATGAGTAAGCTTCTACCTTAACTGAAATTTGTAGTTTTATGGGGATCACTGTAATGAAGTTAAGCGTCACTCACAAATATGGGATTTCTTTTTATAAGCAATATACATTTATATGTACTATATTTAT